AAAAATAACAACACTTTGTCAGGACCATGAGGCGATCATTCCTACCAACTTTCAGTTCAATCGGTCCAGCAGAACTTGACTTTAAGTTTGAAATAGGTTTTCAAAATGGCGGCCGTGGCGGCCATATTGGATTTCTGATCGACCCGAAAAATAACAACACTTTGTCAGGACCATGAGGCGATCATTCCTACCAACTTTCAGTTCAATCGGCCCAGCAGAACTTGACTTTAAGTTTGAAATGTAAAATGTTAACGGACGACGGACGACGACGGACGAAAACGGATAGCAATAGGTCACTTGAGCTAGCTCAAGTGACCTAATAAAGCTGTCGTGGCACTCTGTTAAACTTACCTCCACTCTGTTTTGGGAGTAGATTCCTACAAATGTCTTGTTGGATGCTTTCAGTCCTTTTTTCAACAATCCAGCTCCAATGTTAGCTGCCTTCACCAAAACCTTGTCAAAATAAAAACAAAGAATATTAATACTGAGTCAAATAACAAATTCTCACAGAAATCCTTGTTTAGTTTGACATCTGACCTCTATACCCAGTTTTACCGGACACAAACACTGTGAAAAAACCTGTAGGGTGCTGATTAGGGTATACAGTGTAATGATATAGGGAAAGTAGAGCAATAACACTAACTCAATCATAGGTATATAACAATGCTATATCTATTATAGGTAAAGTAGTTCTATATGCAGTAGGATAGCTTTGATATCCACAGTGTGTGCTATTTCCGTCTTTACAATAACGCATTTCTTAGGTCGAGTATAATGGTATATATTCTTCATTACCTGCATCTATTGTTTCTAAAATCTTTATAATTGCAAAAAATAATTCAGTTTACACTTTGCTAGGTAACAAGGGTGGGCCTTGGGTATAAATAGCACATTTCTTGTCAAACTGGTTATCATTTGTTCAATTTACATATGCACATTTTTACACTTTTACACTTTCTCGATTTCTTATATTTTCTTCCCATCAGATCAGTTAAGAATATTGAAATAGGAATTGAAGGGGTAACTATAACTGTCATCCAGTGGATAACTAATACCCCCCGCAGATGCTGGTAGTTGATCATTCAAGTGAAGTTCAATAAAATCTGCCTGTTAGTTAAGACGGAGTTTTCTGGACAAGTTATTTCGCATAAAGGGCCATAACAGCAAAACTTAAGTTTCTACTTCAAAAGCAAGTATATGTACTATATAATTAAATTAAACCAAATTCTCTAACATTCAATTTACAATCTGACCCAAAAAATATGCATTGGAAAGAAAATCCAAGAACTGCACTTTTATCTAATCTTCAAATATATTACATGTACAATATTTAGCCAATGCACAAATAAAAACTTGGTCAGTTTCACAAAATAAGTTTGACATAGATACAGTATATTACACCTGGTGACAGTCATAATCAGTTTGAAGTCTTAAATTACTTTAAAGCTTGCAATCTTAGGCAATATAAATGTCGATCGGAGCTAGTTGGTTCACTTAGAATGCTAAGGAAAGCAGTTTAATACTTAAATTTATAGTATAGGAAAAAACATGGTTTGAATTTCTTATCTAAATTATTCATCTTTTATGACCAGGTAGTTTTAAAAGTATGCACACGTCATAAACTGCAGTCAAATGTCAACTATGCTTCTATTATAAGCTATATATATACAGTGAGACTGATGTTACAATGAGAAACAGTTAACAATTGTAAACCTTTAAAATGTTTCTTTTTTTTAGCATTTGGAAAGGATGCTATAGCAGGATACTGCAACTGAATAAGAGGTACCGGTAAATACAAATTGTGAACCTCCATAAATAATTTTGTTTAGATCCTGGTTTACTAATTTTAATGCATAATGTGTACTTCAAGTGTGCATCAATCAAATCAAGGAAGTGAAGCTATTTACATGTATTAGTCTGACTTAGGAAGGAACTCTCAATGTTAAACTGTAGAAACAAAAGCACTTTAATTCTAGTGATGTACAACATAACACTTTATTATACATCCAGTAAAACCTATATGTATCAATTCTATGAAATTTAGATTTGAATCACCCTTGTAAGTCAAATTTACCCATAGAAGCTCAATTACTATTTGCACTATTACACTCCCAAAAAGCTGTATTCAACCCTCTTTTCACTAATATAAGCCCTACACTATCTGACTTACATGTTTATAAATTCCCCTATATACCAATATAAGCCCTACACTACCTGACTTGCATGTTTATCAATTCCCCTATATACCAATATAAGCCCTACACTATCTGACTTACATGTTTATCAATTCCCCTATCCACCAATATAAGCCCTACACTACCTGACTTGCATGTTTATCAATTCCCCTATATACCAATATAAGCCCTACACTATCTGACTTACATGTTTATCAATTCCCCTATCCACCAATATAAGCCCTACACTACCTGACTTGCATGTTTATCAATTCCCCTATATACCAATATAAGCCCTACACTATCTGACTTACATGTTTATCAATTCCCCTATCCACCAATATAAGCCCTACACTACCTGACTTGCATGTTTATCAATTCCCCTATATACCAATATAAGCCCTACACTATCTGACTTACATGTTTATCAATTCCCCTATCCACCAATATAAGCCCTACACTACCTGACTTACATGTTTATCAATTACCCTATACACCAATATAAGCCCTACACTATCTGACTTACATGTTTATAAATTCCCCCATACACCAATGTACCAGTAAGCCCTACACTTCCTTACAAATCTTTTAACAATTTAAGTACTCTCTACACACCTATATATAACTGTATTTCTGCATGTAAACATGATTCCCCCAAACAAAGTTATAAACCCTCTACATCCTTGTAAGTATTGTGTTTTCTACTTAAGGTCATATCACTTACTACAAGCATGCCTACTACTCCTGGCGAAAAAGTAAAAGTTCCATTTTGGAATGTTTATCTGTACATAATGGCCATGGGTAGACACATTATTTCCAAGCCATGTTTTTAAATATCCTACCCAGGATATTTTATCTTTACCATTAAGTGGTCACCCTGCATACTTTTGGTATCTATCTTATAATAAGCAGCTCCTTAAGGGCGTGCTTCTTCCCTTCTATTTTATCAGTACATGTTTCACACAATCAAATACATAATAAAATATCTAGAAATGTAAACCACCAACTAACTTAAACCATCCCATTACACTTTTGTGTATGACAATGAACTATGAAATCCACCCACTAAACAAAACCATGACAACTTTTTAGGTCAATGACGTTTCAGGTTGCAAAATGAAACTTGAAAGGCAAGCATGCTTGTGCTTGGTCCTTGCACAAGTAATGTGATTATGTCAGGCAGACGTTTTAAGGACTAGGGACTTGGCTTAGAAACACACATGTCTACAGATGGATGGACAGACAGGGTTATTCTTGTATAAACCACACACAATTCTATTGTAGGGTTATAGTAATAGACCTCAACTTTGTAGACATTGCACCAAATTATACAGATGATTTAGTTGTGACAACCCAGAAGAAGATGCATGGTTTATTTGTTTAATAGAGTACAAAAGTGAATCAATGACTTAGTTGTGAGAGTCTGTAAGTTGATCAAGCAGCTTTGATGATGAAGTAGATGTTAAGGATGCGTACTTACATCATTGTAGGAGAACCATGTATAAGGTTCCTTTGGGCTGGGCTTCCAGCCATAACACGGACCATTGTCTGTAAGGCAAAAACAGAGTATAACCATGACATCAATTCACAGTCACAAAGGGCAAAATAATATAGTTTTTCTAACTGTCAGATACCAGCGAGAAAGCAGCAGCAACCTTAGCTGTGTTTATAATGATCCAAACATTCATCAAATACACTCATTAATATCTATACACAAGTCACATTTTCCAGATAACTGGAATTATTAAAATTCAAATATATTGCCAATATTGTTGAAACCTGACCGATGACACTCCTAGCCGATACGGATATGAACTAATCAGGTTCTATGGGCAGTACTTCATTACTTTTATAATATTTCACAGAACTCAGGGATCAATTACAGCTTCATACATATTTCATAGATCTAGATATGGAAAATCATGAAAAGAAAATCTACTAATAGCATTGGTCAAACACAGCCTCTATATAGGTCCAATATAATATAAGAAATAGCCAGACACAGGTACCACCATGATCTATCACTAACAAATATCACACAATTATGTAGAAAACAAGGTTCTTATTCCTCACACTGTAAATGGCCAACCTTTAGTTTTAGGGTGGGTTTGACAAACAGAAGCTATGAGGCCTGGGATTACTTACTAGATAGTCTGGCACCCCTTTTGAATGCCTCGTACAGTGTTGTGACACCATCACCTGGTTCTGTAATAAGCTGTCCATCCTTACACAGTTTGGAAATTCTGGCTCTGTCTTTTCCCTGAAAAAAAAGGAAAAAGGTTTACTGAAAGCTGAGGGTTGAGTTCCACAATCTTCATACCCAAATTTCACAGACTGATGGTCTTCATTCTGGTTCAACCCTTATGACACAGATTGTAAGTCTTCTTCTTCTGAGCTAGCAATACCTTGATGTCACAGGTCACAAACTATTATGTAGTCGTCTTTCTGGCCTTAGCAATACCCATACTCATAATTCCAGGGGTTACACTCCTACTTACATTTTCTGCAATCCTGGAATATGTCATGTCAAAATTGAAGGCATGCGATAAGCTGTTTGATTGGGTTTCATCAAAGGATCAAACTAGTCTATTTGTATCATCCACAAAGTATGGTGTACAGAGCCTTTGGTTTCTTCATAACAAATTTTATGAGTGAAGAGCACATAAGCATGTAACCCCTGAAATTTCAAGAATGGGCAATACCCTAATGTCAATCATGCTTATAGACAGTTACTGTAATGAATTTAAGTCAAGCTAACATAACATGCAGTTGAAACAGATTAAACAACCTGAAATACAAATGAATAGATTTTAATTTGCAACATGTCCGAATTATTACATACTTGACAACCAAAGCACAAGTCTCCACTACCTATATTTCAATTCTACCATCACAAAAACAAATATGTTAAGGAAATTGTTTTTTAAAAGACATCAATCAACAGAGAAATTTCATCATTTAGGGAGGATGCTCTAGCACAAAATAACTGAATGTCTGTTAGTTCATTATAAAGCGACATAAAGAAAAGTAGTTCCAACAGAAACTCTTTATGTCAAAATTGTGGAAACTGCCAATGCTATTCTTGGTAAAGACTTGATACGGAGGACAGTACCAACAGGGTGCTAATGTTAGTAGATTGCTTTAAATATGACTGCTACATATGCAAGAGGTACTGTTATACACCAGAAACAGCTATTGATTGATCTTGTAGGACTGGAGAAAGTTCCCAAATGAATTGTCTTCTTTCTGGGGCCAAGGGATACAGCTGCCAATAGAATATTAATTTGAAACTAAAAACTTGGCCCTCAAATACTGGTGGTATGATCCTTTGCATGCTTAACTATTGATTTCATCAAATTGAGTTTAACAGCCCAGTCCTCATCATTCTCTATCCCAGTACAGGGGTATTGATTATCTGGCCGTGTGATAAAACAATGGCTGAGTTCACCTCAACACAAGCTGGCACAAACACCTGATTAATAAATAAACACTGGGGTTACTTCCCCCTGTTCAACTGGGTACAATCATTTTCATGATCAGCGTATTCTTAGGAATTTGCATTATTTTTTTTACAGAAAACTGACACTGACATCCTTAAATTCTTTATTACTCCCCCCCCCC